GAATTGGAAGGGGCCTCTAAGGCCATCAATTCCAACCCCTGGTTCAATGCAGGAATCCAAATCAGAGCAGATCTGATAGATGGTTGTCCAATTTTAGAGACTCCAATAGGATAAAATACAGTAGCTGGGAATCACAATGAAAAGATAAAATCTATCAGCAATATTGTGGTGGTGCATTGAACCTTCTGACAGCCCAAAAAGGCAGACACTTATTGACAGAATAACCTGATGGTTCTTGTAGTCACCATGACTAGCAGTAATGGGTTTTCATAAAGCTACTGGATTTAAGTAACCATTTGAGACCAATCAGCCTTACCCTCCTACATTTTGGGGAAATAGGTATTTCTTGCCTAGTTGGCAGTGAACTCAAAGGGAACATGGATGCATGAGGGGGTCAGGCAATATCACTGCCCTTGGTAATTGAAATGGTGGGACATTCCAACTCATGATCTCTGTGGCAGGTGATTTTTTTTATTACCACCTCTCCCCAGAATCCCTTGGGCCCCAAAACCTTTGGGACCAGGAGTTATGCACACAACTGGCTAAGAACTGCCAACACGATGGAGATGGCAGTGGCTGGGAGACACAGCTGGATCTTGCTACTGTCTACTTTCTTCCTTGGTCTGAATGTGGCATCACAGCAAAAGTGGGGTGGCGACAAGCAGCAGGGATGGCAGTGGGGCTTCTTGCACCAAGGCTGGCAGAACAACAGTGATTAAGAAAAACCAATAAAAACAGGGAGAGCGACACCATGCAGCTTTTGTTAACACAAAAAGACTACTAAAATTTCTGTTTGCAGTTGTGTGTGTGTGTAAGTGTGAAATGAGTAACATCTCCTTGCTATTTATGAAATGTTGGGTTCTTAAACCAATTTTCAAGATTTCAAAGCTTTACTTGGACATACTCAGATCTGTGATTCAGATCTGCCCTCTGCAATTCAAATTGGCATAGGAAAGACAAGATTTATTAAATTTGTATTACTGAAAGGAAAGGGGAAAGCCTCTAAGCAACAATCAATACAATTTTGGAGAAGAGGTTGGTAATACATAAAATAATTACTTTAAAAGTTCCCATGGGTATGGGGGTGCACTGGGTTTTAGATTGTTAGTCAGTATTTTGTATTGTTTTGTATTGATGTATTTGTTTTGGAAAATAATTTAAAAATTTTAAAAAGGAAAGAACATGAAGGTTTTAACTGTTCTAACTTTTATTTATTTTTTTATAAGAAAACTACTTAGTGTTTTGTTGTTTTCAAGTATTTATGTGCCTTTATTCTATGTTTCCATAATAAAATCTGTGTTTATTAAAGAATCTTATAAGGTATCTTTTATTTAATTTTTATTCATTTTCAATACGGATAGGATTAGGGATAGGAGGCTGGGGGAGTGGACATGGGTAGGGTAAAATTCCAGAGAGCGAGAGGGTACTTTTACATCCACTTATACAATTATACTAGAATAGAAAGATAAAAAAAAGAACAACTTAACATTAATATCATGAATTAGAATTACTATTCTCCCCATTCACTGATTGGACCTTCACATTCTTCTTTTATTCATACTTTCCAGTCCATATTTTTGAGTCCAGCTACAGTATTCCAAATTTTTGCATTCTTTTTAAGATGAATGTGTTTCTGCTTTCTTCCAATATTTCCCATATTATATTTTAGCTACAGTAATTATATGTATTA